CCTTGCGGGATCGTCACATCAGCTTTCCGTCGACATGGGCGCATTTGATTGGGACCACTGTCTGTCGCCACCTGCAATGCATGCGACAGCGTAGCCAGGATGCAAAAGAGAGCCACGGCCGCCACGGCCATGGCTCCGCTAGTAGAACGGGAAAGATCGTAAAGCGTGCTTGAGAAAAAAGACGACAAGCCCAAAGGTGACCGAGGGCGAGGAACAAGGACACTACTAGGAGCAAGGAGCTACTAGTAGCAAAGGGCATCGCTACTAGGACCAAGGAAGCTACTATAATAACATCTAACAATAAAGCTACTACTTTCTTTTTAGCCCTCAAATGCGGTTTCCATAGAGCCGTGGAAGCATGGAAAGAGTTTGGCGTAGGAAACCTCCAGCTTGACAATGAAAGCAACCGTAGCGATGGCCTCCAACCTACTAGCGATGTACCTTGGTTGGCCGTAATTAAAGCAACCAGTCTTCCAACCTTCCATGGTACCTTTTTGTGGTGTCTCGATGCTATCCTTTGATGCAGTTCGAAACCAAGTAGGTGACACTGGTAATGAAATATAAAGAAAGGAAGAAAGAAGGGAACGAAAATGAAGGACTGAAAAAAAGAACCTTAAAGGTCTTAAGAAAAAAGAGAGAAACCAGAAAGGTCTTCTTTTCCTGAGGCCGGTGCTGGTGATGGCAATGTGGCCACGCATCGCCCGTCCTTGACGTCCAACAGCCTGAGCCACGCCGTCTGAATAGTTTGATTGGAGGGCGCCCTCTAGTAGCGTCCGAACGCTCCTAGTAGCGATGCCAGGAGCCCCTAGTAGCGAACATTGCTCCTAGTAGCGATGCCCGGGTTCCTAGTAGCGAACATTGCTCCTAGTAGTAAGGCCAGGAGCCCCTAGTAGCGAACATTGCTCCTGGTAGCAGCAAGGCCAGGAGCCCCTAGTAGCGTTCTTGCTCCTAGTAGTAAGGTAGTAGCTTATTGTTCCTAGATGACAGTACACTCCCATGAAAATCGGGAAAATCAGTCGCCTGCCAGGAGGATCGTACTATCCCCAAGTATGAAAGTATGATACCCTGGCCTGCTAGGCTTTCTTTCGGAAATGGACTAAACTAAGCCGTCCAAAACACAAAACGATTACACTTTGCTCTAGAAACAAGAAGGGGCTACTACTAATGTCCCCTACTACTTTGAGCACATGTAGTACCTATCTACCAGCGAAGAGAGTCACAAGACCCAAAAAACAGTGCCTCAAGCGTCCGACCAGGAGCACCACCAACAGCTCCTTGCAGCCTGCAGTCGCCTACGACGGACCAGGTCGACGTCTCATGGGACGTCATGGGCTGAGAACCGGTTTTCCAACTAGTAGTAAGGCACTTGTTTCTAATAGCTTTTTGTTACTACTAGTAAGGCACTTGTTACTACTAGCGTGGCACTTGTTACTAGAAGGTTTAGAAAAGCTGTTTAGACGAACCTCCAAGATAGACTTTGATTGTCGGAAAGCTGCAACTGCGCCCTCACTTGTAATCACACGTACAGGCAACAAAACAGGCCCTTACATCCAAACACTAGGCACAATAGGCACAACAATACATTTGCATTGGTCCGAAAATACAACACATCCTGAGTTCTCTAAGACTTGTTGAGGAGAACTTGTGGTGCCACTCCCCCTGGCCCTTGGTTCATTGAAAAACAAAACAAACACACATATTCAAAAATGGGAAGCTGGGGAGCCGTCATTGTGACAATATAGTTCCTTGCTACCAAATTCCATCCAGCCTTAGCCCCTTTCATCTCAGAGCTGAGCTTTGTCGGTTGTCATACCTGTCTTTCCATAATCATAGTGGCTCTGAAAAGCCAACTATAAACATCCCTATTGGCCATCGCTATTAGGTTAGACCCACCAGTAGCATGGGCAATTGGCTCGGAAAAAAAATACCCATGGATGACTCCAGGCACATCTGTCCACCCGGCCTGCAATCCACTGGGAGCCTTGCAAAAGTCGAGTGCTCGTACCTCTTCTGGACCCAGCCAACCTGAGAAATCATCACAAACCTCTGAATGTCAACATTGAACAACATGGCAAAGAGGGTGGCCGGTGCTCTAAGAGTCTTGGCGCAAGCATCTTCCCCCCAACCCCCGCGAGCATCTGTTCTCTTTCCCATCTAATACACACCAGTCATGGTGATCTGGCCTGCAATGGCGAGAGCCAAAGGCTTCAGTCGGCCCTCCTCACAGTAGAAGAGGTAAACCTTTGCCGAATTGGCAATGTACGCAGCCGAGCTTTGGTCTTATTTTCTGAATGAATTTCCATGGTTGGCTGTCACATCCGGATCAACTAGGTCATCTTGGAGGGATCGTCATGTCTGGAATAGCTGGAAGTCTTGTGGTTTGGGCAAAGGAATCCAAGCTTAAGATCGAGCCCCTAGTAGCATCCTTGCTCCTAGTAGTAAGGCCAGGAGCCCCTAGTAGCTCGGTTTCTGGTCTCATAGAACCACCAAACACACTAATCAACGATGGAAGACCTGGCGACGTGGCTCACGTCCGACGTGTCTGCCGCACCTGGCCAGAGGCACAGGCGGCAGCCAAGAATTGGCCATCGCGGCTGCAGGTGACGCAGCAAATCTCCTGCATTAAACGCTCAGAACTGAGAAAGAAAACACTTACAGTAGCTTTATCACAAAATGTTCGCTAGTAGGTTGGAGGCCATCGCTAGTAGGTTGGGTTCTTGGCCTTTCTTCCAAGTCCTATTGACACTCCACACTGCCTCACATGCATACTCTGCAATGATCAGAACCCTTCTCTGTGACTGCATGATCCACCCCCACTCCTGTTGCTTGCTCTGTCCAGGGAGCAGCACGCAGGGAGCCCAAAGCCGAGGCTTCATCCATGGCGCAGAAAGCCAGGAAGGCCCCTAAGGCCACTCCTCATTCTTGTTTTCATCATAGCACGTCGTCGCTGGAATTGAGTGTTCTTATAAGGGTGATGAAACCCAAAATCAAAACCCTTTTGAGTTACTGCTATAGTAGCATGGGGGCACTGAGGTCAGAACTAAAAGCATCCTAAAGGCTCTTGTTCTCAAGCATGCACCGTCTCTTGCTGTTCTTGTTTTGTTGCTTGTAGAGGACGGGCCGGGGGAAAAGGTGACCTTGATTGCCCGATGAGTCGTAGATCAAGAAGTGCTTCCACAATCATATTGATCCATCCTAAGGAGGTCTGGCAAACTTTCAAGGCGACTTGACAAAGTGACTTCAGTTGTCATCAGAGAGAGGTACTTTGGTTCATTTGTGCAACTGAATCAACTTTGCGTACTCCACGCTAGTCGGCAAATCAGCAACTCTTGTGATCCACCAAGCGCGTTAGGAATCTGCAACTCGGTGCAGAAATTTGGCAAACGGGATTTACAACACGCCAGAGATCGAGAATCATCGTTAGTTACCGTTAGTTGGCAAAAACGTGTGAAACAGCATTCGAGAGGGCTGATCATTATGGAGATCATGCAACCACGTTACAAGGGACCGCAAGTAATGACCTAACATTAAATTCCGATGGTATCCAATGGTGGTGGATGTTCGAATCGTTGATCACCGTAGCTGCTGTGGAGGGGAGTTATCCGATCAAAAGTTGTCTGGCTCCTGGCACATGCCTAAATATCGGACATAGGAAGTAATCTACAACCCGGCACTTAAGGGAATGTGGGAAATACCACAGGCCTGCAGTAGCTCAGACTACAATCATTAAAAAAATCCTGAACAGTGTTGGGCACCACAAAGCTCAGATTGGACTGCACATGGCGTTTGTCTCATCTTTTATCATAAGAATCGTACAAGTCGCATGGACCTTTGCACGCAACCAGGAACTTCGTAGGCATTAACTTTGGACATTTGTCGTGCAAGGAATCGGATTTGTCATCTTGCGTGGTTCAACCTTGACTTTAGACAAACAAAGAAGCTACTAGTAACAAGGACGCTACTAGGTGGAGGCCATCGCTACTAGTAACAAGTGCCTTACTAGTAGTACAGTAACGAGAAGCTCATAGAAACAAGTGCATCGCTACTAGTAACAAAGAAGCTACTAGTAGCAAGTGCATCGCTACTAGTAACAAAGAAGCTACTAGTAACAAGTGCATCGCTACTAGTAACAAGTGCCTTACTAGTAGTACAGTAACAAGAAGCTATTAGAAACAAGTGCATCGCTACTAGAAACAAAGAAGCTACTAGTAGCAAGTGCACCGCTACTAGTAACAAAGAAGCTACTAGTCACAAGTCCATCGCTACTAGTAACAAGTGCCTTCTGGTAGTACAGTAACAAGAAGCTATTAGAAACAAGTGCATCGCTACTAG